AGAGAGGACAAAAGATGGATGGTGGGGGTGGAAAAGGAATAGATTGGGATGAGTCTGATGAGATTAGGAGTAGATGAGGGGTGAGAACATAGAACTGGGAAAATCTGAGCAAGGAGAGCAGGACTGTGTAATAAAGGGGGCTGTTGTTTCTAGGACCCCAGCCTTATTGGTTGCAGAAATTGGAAGGCATGGAGAGAATGAGGCAGGGTTCTCTCTCATGGTGAAGGAAATTGAATGGTGTCCTGGAAAACTGGATTGCAACTCTGCCTCTGCCACAGAGTTCCTAAATGATGCTGGGCAAGTCACTTACCCCAAAATGTTCCACAGGTGGCCACTAACTTGTGTGTTCTTCATTGTAAGGGTTTCCAACTTGATATACTGGGATCTGATCTGTGGTTGTTCTGAGCACTCACAGTTGCAACTGAGATCAGTAGGAGCTACAACATTATGTAGCTCTGTAAGTACTATGAAAATTCAAGTCTTAGATCTCTCAACTTGTGCACCCAAAATTAGTGGAAATTTTTTATCTCAACCTCTTTATGCCTCAATTCCTGATCGGTAAATTGGGAATAATATCTCCTCTTGTTACAGTAATATTATGAACATTAATTTTTGGGAAGCCCCTATATCCTACAGCGATAAGCACCACCAAAAAGTTTAGTTTGAATAGTGTGCAGGCTCAGATCACACGCTGAACAACGAAGAGAAAACAAAATACTGAATAGTTTATTAAATGAACGCTGTCCATCATGTGTACTGAATGAAGCAGGAAACTGTGGGGGACAAATAGTATGTGAAAAAGTCTCAGGGGGTAGCCATGTTAGTCAGTAACTTTAAAAGCAACAAGGAGTCCTGTGGTACCTTAGAGTCTAACAAAAATATATAAAGTATCATGAGTTTTCTTGGGGAAACCCCACTTCTTCAGATGAGCTGGGTGGAAAAAAAGGGAACCCAGAATTTAAAAATTTAAATAGTGTGTGATTATGTAATTAAAGACCGTATTAGATAATATACATGTAAAGATTCCAACTATGTTAACATGGACAACCTCAAATCTGCCATTTCTGAACTTTGGAGTGGTTGAGTTTACAGCCTTAATAGTGTTCTTTTAACATAGTCTTTTAGTATATTATCTCAGAGAGACCTCTTATGTATGGAGGCTTATGCGTGCACAGACCAAAGAGCAAGGTTCTATCCCAGTTCTCCTAGGTCTGCAATGCATGATTTGAATCCCATTTTCTGTGACCCCAGTATTCATTGCAGGATGAGAGTCTGTCCAGGAGTCACACATGTTTTTAAGCAAACCCTCCCTGCTTTCCACACACTTTCAAGTAGGAGGAGGAGTAGGAAGCTCAAGTATCAGCCACTTTGAGAAGCTCACATCAGGGAAGGTGCATTTTATGCCAATCTTATATTAGAGTGACTCAGGTACTGTAGAGGGATAGTAAAAGTTTTACTGACATTAAGGATCACTTGTTTGTTCCTCCCCACCTGGCTAGCAATTAATATTTAAATCAAAAGTTCAAAAAGTACCAGGACTACAGAGGTCACACATGCCAATCAGATGCCAAAGAGTCCTCTTGCTATGTGCCCAGCATGCCAATGAATGAGATTGATAGCGTTAAGTCATGAATTATGCATGCTCTTCATGTTTTGTTGATTTGTAAGTGGTTGGAGAGGTAATGTGATTCTCTGAATCATAATGGTGTCAAAAATCTGCATGCCAAAACCTCTGTCTTCTTTTTTGAACTTGGTGTGCCCTGTGCATAAGTTGGCAAAACTCTCACTAAAGATACAAAAGCATAGTGCAGTTCTTGCACCACAAATATCCACCTTCCCTGTTTGTAAATAGAAGCATTTTCCTAACTGGGCCAATTATCTTGCACTCTCCAGCTGGTCTCAAGGATTAACTTGGTGAAATGCTGAGAGCGGAGATCTGAAATTTGTGTGGGAGCTCTTTTGGCAATTTCCTGGAGGAGAGAAAACTCTGTGTGATAAGTGGGGGGTGACTCGCTATCCGATTCTTGGTTACATGGAAAGTTTTACACAGTAATAATCCAAGTTTTTGAGTCACAGTTCAACTTTCTCACATGAAACTCTTTAACTGTCAAGCTGGCTGGAGCAAGAGGCAATGCAGCCAGTGTGATATTTATAGCTGTTAAAAGTGTATTTTAAGCTTAATTGCAAAGGCCACATTTTTCTCAGGGGACCTACCCTAGCCATACAATGTTCTTGGCTTGGCTGTGCCATAGGATCTGTACTATGTGAACCATATGGTAATAATGGTTATTTTAATCAGTGCCTTAATACTGTGGGTTAGATTCTCAGCTGGGGTAAATCAACATAGCTTCAGTGACTTCAGCATATATATACTGATGTGCATCATTGGCAGAGCTGGCCATGTACCACTCCTTTATTGCAATCCCAAAGTCATATTTTCTCCCTGGTCAACATTCTGCTTCCTGTAAGAGTTACATGGGTACAAATATTGTCATGAACATTTCAGTGTAAACATTTGTGATGCTGGCATAGATAGATGTTTACACCAGGAATTCTAAGTCATCAAGGAACTAAGAACAGGAATTCCCAAAATAACATGTCCCTCTACCATGGGAATAGAGGTACAATTATCAGGCAAAATGTATAAAAAATATAAAAGTTCTGTCCCTAAGAGAAGATACACCAGCACAGAAGTGACTCTTACATACACAAGGCGCAGAAATGCCATCTTCTACTCATTAGAATAAGTGTACATAGAATATACCAAAATTGTGACAATTAAGGATTTGTACAGGTTTCAAGATGTGCTTCATGAGCAGTACTACCAAAGACAACTGTTCAGTGAGCCCTCCAGAACACGCACGCACGCACGCACGGTCCTTAGAATCACAAGATTTTTATCATTAATTAATCTGGGGTTCTTTGAATTGCCCTTCTAGTTTTTGAGCCTTCAAGAGTCACACCAGAAAGCTTTTCTCCTGAACTGTGGAGGGTAAAAACTTACTTATAAATAATTGGAAGCAAATATCACCAGCACAATACTACGTGACTTAGGTGACCAATCCCACAGTGTGGCCAACAAATGCTCAAAGTAATAGCTGGGACAGGGCATTGTGGAGGCTGAAATCCATTCACATCAACCATCCACTGGTTACATTATCAACAGCCAACAAATTCATGCAAGTCAATCATTGGGATAATTCCTGAACAAAAAAGGGGTGAAAATTCACCCTACTTCAGATTGAAAGAAACCACATTCATATTTCAGCCCCCACATTCTCTTTTCCTGTATAAGGAATCTTTAATACGAATTACTATGCACTCAAGATCATCTCATCTGAAGAAGTGGGTTTTGCCCATGAAAGCTTGTGATACTGTATACTGGCTGAACCTTTCTAGTCCGGCACCCTCAGAACTTGACCGGTTCTGGACCAGAGAATTTTCTGGATCACAGAAGGTCAGTATTGTCTAGCAGGATTACCTACACTTCCTCTGCTTACTAGGACATTTAGGGATAAATTAGAGCTAAATAACAGCACAGAACACTGAGGGCTAGGGCTGGTGGCTGTAAACAAACTTTATGGGACCATGGGAAACTTGGCCACATCCATGATAAGTGGATATCTGGCTAACTAAAATCATTCCTGGTGACAGATATTTCCAGATGAGAGTGTTCTGGGCTAGAGAGGTTCAGCCTGTATATATTTTTGTTAGTCTCTAAAGGTGCCACAGGATTATTCATTTTTAACAACATATTATAGACCCCAATGAGGTGCCAGCTTCACCACAGAGCCGGATATGGGCAAGCTGATGATACAATGAGGAATCTACAGAATTCCCTCCAGTGAAAGTTCCACTGAAAACACACAGGCTATGTCTACACTGGCATGATTTTCTGGAAATGCTTTTAACAGAAAAGTTTTCCGTTAAAAGCATTTTCGGAAAAGCGCGTCTAGATTGGCAGGACACTTTTCCGCAAAAGTACTTTAAATAAATCTCTGCTGTCTACACTTGCCCTTTTGCGCAAAAGTTTTTCGGAAAAAGACTTTTGCCCGAATGGGAGAAGCATAGTATTTCCGCAAAAGCACTGACAATCTTACACGATGATACAATCGTCAGTGCTTTTGCGGAAATTCAAGCGGCCAGTGTAGAGAGCTGGCAAGTTTTTCCGGAAAAAGTGGCCAGTCTAGACAAAGCCACAGAGTCCACATTTTGCCACTTCCCAGATAATTTACATTGGAGGCAGCAAATAGCTATCTTAGTTTCCCTGATGGGCTTTTGGCATCTTGGTTTGCTGAAACTACCTGATGGATTGTCTCTGCCTTCATCTAGGATTTACTCTAGCTTCTGCCTCTCTGGTCCTGGGAACGATTCTGGCCCCTAAATCTTAAAGTTGTGACATCATAATCCAGCTGTGATGGCTGAGGGTTCTGACTTCAGATGAGAGAAATAAACAGGAGAACTTAGAAATACAGAATCAGCTCCTCAGCTGGTGTAACCGGGAACGTCTCCACTGACTTCAATGGAGCTTCATCCATTTGCTCCAGCTGAAGACCTATCTGAGAGGACCTATTTTTAAGGAAATGTCACCTTAAAAAAAAAGGCCATGGGATGAGCAATGTAGCAAATATATTTATGCAGTCCTGTTTACAAGCAGAACTTTTCTCTGTCTGCCGTGAGGCCTTCAACTGATCTTTAAATAACAAGCCTATAAAAATACAAATTGATATTCATGTCCTCCCTAAGGATATATAAATGACATTAGTGCTGAGAATGCTTTATAGCTGTATTTTGTTTACAAACTGGAAGGAAGGTGGTTGAGTAACACTATACCGTAAGGACGGGTAAGAGTATAAATAACTGACTCCTGGGATGATGATAAGAGATTTCTGGCTGACAAACTATATTTACAATAACACAAACTAGTTACACTGTATCATTTCCCATGGTAACAGGCAGCCCATTTTATATATCCGGTACATGGATACAAATGAAGCTCAAGAATTATGAGCTGATCATCTTGGCAAGTTATGCTTATCTCACCTACAGGAGAGTAAGTCTCATTTGGCTATATTCTTCATTTTTTTTTAAAAGGATTTATGGAAGTTGATTTGGAGAAAACTTCCAGCAAGCTCATTATTGTACCATTTTGTCAGCTCCACCCTTCTCATTCACCCCAACCACCACATTGGAAAAAGTAAATTAAATGGGAGTCTTAAAAATTATTATTGAGGGGAGGGGAGAAGAAGAAACGCGTATCAATCTCAATTTATGTTGCAGCTAGATATATGTTGGTGAGAGCTACTGCAGCTTCTATTTAAATTTCTGCCACTAAATGGAAGAGGTAGTGTAGAAGATTTCATTGCTACTTACATATCCCTCCAGTCTTCCCCTTTCCCGGAGACACAGAGTTCTGTCACAGGCAGATTGGGAACATGGTTGTGGAAGTGGCTTGCTAATATACTGGCAGCACATCACTGAGATGGGTTCCAAACAAGAATTCAGCCAATCAGGTCCTGTGTTTGCTACAAACTCGGGGACAGAACTGGGACCCCAAAAAGGTCGCTTTCATAGAATAATAGAACACTAGAACTGGGAAGGATCTCAAGAAGTCGTCAAGTCCAGTCTCCTGCCCTCACGGCAGGACCAAGCGCCATCTAGATCATCCCTGATAGATGTCTATCCAACCTGCTTTTAAATATCTCCAGTGATGGAGAGTCCACGGCCCCCACAGGCAATTTATTCCCATGTTTAACCACTCTGACCGTTAGGAAGTTTTTCCTGATGTCCAACCTAAACTTCCCTTGCTACAGTTTAAGCCCATTGCTTCTTTTCCTATCCTCAAAGGCCAAGAGCATTTTTTCACTCTCCTCCTTGTAACACCCTTTTAGGTACTTTGTATTATCAGAGGCCTGGACTAGTCTAATGATGGGTCTTCTGTCTTCATACCAGGCTCTCTTTCTGCTGGGCCTAGTGGGCAACTCAGGGCAGATAGTGGGCATTCTAGGGTACACATGATGGAGGCAAAAGGGGGTGAGATTGGATTATAGAATCATAGAACACTAGAACTGGAAAGGACCTCGAGAGGTCATCAAGTCCAGTCAAAGCACCATAGACCATCCCTGATAGATGTCTAAATTATGATTATGATGCTCTCTATTGGTCCCTGATGGGCAGAGAAGTCCCTTCATGACTGTTTCTAGCCAGTGAAAGTCTGGGCAACTCTGGAGTTCTGCTCTTGGCTGTTCCTGGTACCAGGAGAGGGGTAAAGGTGGCTTTGATCCTTTTCCCTCCACCCCAGTTGTGCTGCGGAGTCTAAGGATTGTCTAACACCATTCTGGGATTTGCCAAAAGGTTTGTAAAATGCGGCCTGGTTTTGAGTGACACTGGTCCTGTTGTTGCAAGAAGCTGGGCTAAATTGTGGTTTCCGTTGGAGATGGGCTCACCTTTAACCACACATCAGAACAACCCCAAACTTTAGAGACACTCCAGTTGCAAATCTGAATCGAGAGCTGTTCTGTTGCAAAATTTGCCACAGTCAAGGTATGGATCAATTGTCTCAGAACTTGCACATAGTTGAAATTCTAATTTCAAGTGCGGTGTTCCATGGTGCCATTGTAACGCTGTCCTTCCCACCCCCGCAAGTCTCACAAAATGCAGTGATCTCTTCTCTTGCAGCCATGTGATTAGGAAAGAGACTCAGCTGTCACTTACATATAAAAATCTAGCCCTTGGTATGGGGGGAAATTGAAAATGTGAAGCCTACAGGCAAAGGAAGAAACCTCAGAATTTCTGAATGCTGGGAGCTGGCAACACACAAACACACAGAGAATTTGACAAGAAACCAGCTGAAACACAACTTCCTGAACTGGTCAGTGGGATTCAGCTCCTTTGAAGCTGGGAGTTAAAGTGATAATTAAAGGGCACAACCTCCAGGGCAAATAAAGGCATGATTCCAAATGTAAACTGAAGGTCTGTGTTTTTCTGGGCTCTCGTTATATCCTGTAATGAAGCAAAACAGGTTGTTTTTCCTCAGAAGAAGGAGTTCGCTTGAGCCAAGTGCTTAAAAAGTTGAGTTGGAAGAGGGTGGATGATGTTTTAACCCTCACCGGTATGTTCCACCTATTGAAAATGAGCAGTTTGGTTCTTCACCTCCGGTCATCCAGATGCTTATTTGCATTCGGAATGATCACCTCTGCATACCTCTAGACAGCTGGCTGTGCTTTCCATGTAACTTTGGCTTTAATTAAATATGAGCTGCACCATCACACCGGCAGGATTTCAACAATCAGGTCAGCAGACAGGTTAATACAAGAAAACCAGACAGTATTATTTCTATCTATATTATCCGATTGACTTCAAATGAGGTGCAGATGTTCTCCTTATCCCCTCTGTTGCGTCACCCAAAGCGACTCTAAATCTGCAGGACAGTTTGATGTGTCTGGTGGTTACAGCAAGGGAGTCGGGGATTGGGTTGGGCTGGGGTGAAATCCTAACCTCATTGAAGGCCCTGGGAAAGCTGTTGTCAGGTTTCAGATTCCTGGTCATGTTCCTGTCTTTGCAACTGATTTTGGGGTACCCCATTTATATACAAGAGAAGAATGAGAGGCACCTGCCTGAGGGGGGAGGGAAGACAAGCAGTGAGCTTCAGTTTGGTTGATTGACAGTAACACGGTTCAGGTCGGTATTCCAGGGCAGAGCTGGAAAGAGACCCTCATGAATGCTGGCTCTCACTTTTCCAGGCTTTGCAGAGCCTGGCTGTACTGTCCCGTCCTCCCTACAGACAGGCAGGATTTTCCACGTTCTCAATTTGAATCTGTTCTCACTCAGTCTAACCCTTTTGACATGCAAGCTGTGCCTGGCTCTGGGAGACTGCGGTGAATAGATGGACGCTGTAGAGCCAATACCAACCCCTGTTCAGGTAGGAAAGGGTGAGAGAAGGAGAGGACATCCTCTTGGCCAAATGCTCTGTTCTAATATTGGTCGGGTGCTGAGATCAGATGGGCAGGCGAAGCTCTAACATCCGCTGTTACAATGGCCAGTGACATCCATGCAATGGCAGATCCACTTGTCTGACCTTTCTCTTTCTTTATCTCCAACCCTCATGCAACAGACAGAAGGTCCTGTGCATACTTTCACTCCAGTTCCACTGCAGTGGGGCTCCTTATACCATGGAGCAGAGGCAGGAAAATCTCCCGAGCTGCATGTTATACCGTGGTATCAGAAAATTGCATTGAAAGTTAGGTTTCCCTAGCTTTCCTGGGCCCACAGTTTGAAAACAATAAGCCAAAGGATTGATGGCAAGGTGCACAGAAAATTGCATTACTCTGTTGCTGGAGAAACATACATTATGTGACTGGCTAAAACGAGGCAGGGAGACATTGAATGAACATGACAGAATTGTTTTAAAAAAATTAAAACTGAATCTAAGTTTTAGCGACAGAGGGTTTTACCAGCAGCACAGTTGTTAAAGCCATTGGGTCAGAGTGAAGTGGATATTAGGGAATGAGTTTCTTTAGTATCTGATGGAGCATGGTCAATAGGGCTATGTCTACACTGGCGGCTTCTTGCACACATCTTGTGCAAGGGTCCTCGTGCGAGAAGTCTTGCGCAGGAAAACATCCACACTGCTATGTGTGAGCTGTACTTTTGCACCAGAGTGCCCATGGCACTGTGTATGCTCTCTTGTGCAAGAAAGCTCTGATGGCCATTTTAGCCATAGGGCTTTCTTGCGCAAAAAATCCCTGCTGAGTGTCCACACTGCCCTCTTGCACAAGAGCTCCTGGGCATGAGGGCTTACACCTGTTAAAGAAGAGCGTAGCTCTTGTGCAAGAAGCCCTCTCTTACCATACCATACTGTAAGGCTGTCTCTACACTGGCATGAATTTCCAGAAATGTTTAAAACGGAATACTATTCCGTTTTCAGTTTTTCCGGAAAAGGAGCGTCTACATTGGCAAGCTGCTTTTCCGGAAAAGCCCTTTTTCCGGAAACCCTTTTTCCGGAAAAGCATCTGTGGCCAATGTAGACGCGCTTTTCCGGAAAAGAGCCCCAATCGCCATTTTCGTGATCGGGGCTTTTTTCCGGAAAAGACTACTGGGCTGTCTACACTGGCCCTTTTCTGGAACAGTGTTCCGGAATAAGGACTTATGCCCGAGCGGGAGCAGAATAGATTTTCCGGAATAGCGGCTGATTTTGTACAGTAGAGCATCGTTGCTTTTCCGGAAATTCAAGGGCCAGTGTAGACAGCTCGCAGCTTATTCCGGAAAAGCGGCTGATTTTCCGTAATAAGTGGCCCAGTGTAGACACAACCCCTAAGTGTCCTTGCACAAGAGCAGGTAGGCGGTGTGGACGCTCAGC